AGTGGTGCCATCAGTACCACAGTGGTTGACAGTGGAAGTCACAGCATTCTAGAAAGGACCTCTGACTTTATGCTTCCAACTATCAACTAAGAACTGCCTTTTGAAGTACTGTTCCCGAGTAGAGAGGACTGAATCCTCCGGGAGAAGGAAATATCAAGAGCAGATAGTTGTTGGTTCACAGATCGGAAGAATCCGGCCTCATACACAAGTCAATAAAAATATTTTCGGACAGTCAAGCGACGTTGGAAGCACTTGGCTCCTACCGTGCAACGTCTAAATTGGTAGCAAACTGCCAAAAACAACTCTCCTCGATATGAAGACTTAACAGATTGTCTCTGGTCTGGATTCCTGTCCATACTGGCCTGGAAGGCCTGCTAACTCCCTTACAAAGGAGGGTGCTGCAAGCAGCTTCATCGAACCAGAACTTGTCATTGGCATCGCTTTAGGCTTTGCCAAACAAAGATTGAACACTTGGATGGCAAGAAGATTTATGGACTTCTGGCAGAATCTTCCAGGATTGGCGTTTATTCACCCTCCGAAGCTGGAAACCAAACAGATGTCGGACTACACTAGGGATGAACTACGATGCGTTCTCACAGGTCACTGTCATTTGAATCATCATATGCAGAGACTCGGATCATATGCATCAGAGACAGGATTCTGTTTGAAAACACATAACTCATTTCCTCCAACCAGGGATACCATAGCTGACTGGTACGGAAGGCAGTAGAAATTAACAAACACACAGATGATTTCAACAGAAAAGAAGAATCGGTGAACCTCAATGAAATTATGAAATCCCATTCTAATGAGTTCAAGGATAGCAAAGAGCAGCATGATGAGAGCAAGTAGAAAAGAGTCAATGACTGTTAACGACGAATTACCTGATCCAGGTACAGTTAGTTATTAGCACTCCAAACTACCTGACACAGCATAAAATCGAAACCGTAATTTTTAGTCATCGGATGTATAAACATCTGATGAAGCTAATCACCAGCGCCATGTAGGTATATATCTTATTACCTACTCTCGGATATATATACTCCGATATTTCTATTTAGGTCAGTAGTGTTAGAACTTGAGGATCTGATGCGGTATCGTGCATCGACTGAAAGCAAACTAAAAGATCAGATTTGTTGCAAAATAATTGAGGATCTAAAAGGTATTTGTTTGTTGTCAGATGCACTGTTCTCAATTAAAATTACGTCATAACGCAGCACCGCTTAATAATTTTTGAAAACATAAATTTAGTTATCCTGGAATAAATGACGTGTAGCAGAATTTATTTACTGCACCTCTTGGAAATATGGAGTTTGTCGATATGTGATTTCTTTTAAAGATTAAAAGCAGAAAAAACAGCGTACCCACCATAGCAATAAAAAACGAATTCTCTGTATGTACAAACGTCAGTAGCTAATATTGATGTTGGTTTAAAGTAAGGTGTTGGTGTTAAAAACTGTCACAGCGCGTTTTGATTGATTTTGAAGTGTTATTGAAGTTATTTTGGTA